GCTCCTGAGACGCCCGGGATTATGGGGAGGCAGCCCAGAGAGGGCTGTCAGGGCTGCTGATTGGCAAGTGAAGGGCAACAACAAAAACCAGGTGCAGGTTAGTCTCCTGCCCAACTGAGACTGTCCGGGTGAGCCATCAGTGCCAGGAGGCCTCGTAGGCCAGCCAGCTGGAAAGAGGAAGTGGATAGCAAGTGTCCGGCCAGTGGAAGTGATTCCAGTGCCCCAGCCCCAGGAGAATGGGGTTTTAGGCCACAAGGGTGGGGCTAGTCAAGTAATAGGTTTGGGGTATTCCTGGGTTGGAATTTGGCCACTCCACATGGCCTTAGGCCCTGGGTTCTGGGAGTCCTCATTTGTATTGGAAGGTTCTGGACAATCTCTATTGGATGGTCACCGGTCCAAGGCACAAGTAGGTGTGGATGTGGCTTGGAGGAGGGGGTAAGGAAGGGTGGGGGGTCAAAGTGGTGCTCCAGAGGAGAGACTAGGACCAGGCATATGGAGTCCAAGTCAGGGGTCGTCCTGGCTGACTAAGCCCTGTCCCTGACCCTTCAGGTCAACCCTGCAAGTGGTGCTCCATCGACGGCAGTGTTGAGCTACCACTGGTCCAAGGCTCCCCGAAGGCGCTGACCCTGGAGTATGCCCTGTGCCTCACGGGCGATGGCTTGGCCCACCTGCAGGCCGAGGACCCCCAGCTGCTGCTGCACCTCATCCCCCATGTGCAAGTGTTTGCCCGCGTGGCCCCCAAACAGAAGGTGAGCACAGAGGTGACAGGTGGGCAAGGCCCTAAAGTGGCACCCACCCCTCACTTGGTCCTTTGCCCATGTAGGAGTTCGTTATCACCAGCCTGAAGGGGCTGGGCTACGTGACCCTCATGTGTGGGGACGGCACCAATGACGTGGGTGCCCTGAAGCACGCCGACGTAGGTGAGCCGCCGCCCCATCCTTCCCCCGTCTCCTGGCAAAGTCTGTTCCCTCCTTACTGTACAGCCAGCCAGGGCTCAGCATAAATGGCACCTCCCCGAGCATGAGGAGGCAGGGAAGGGATGGGGTTGGGGATCCAAGGCAGAAGGACACAGGAGTCTAAGGAACAGTGTGGCTGAAGCCACCAGAGCCCTGGGGAAAGTGTGAGGAGCCAGGGAAGCTCTGAGAAAACCCGGGACCCTTTAGTCCGCAGGCTGATGCTCTGTCCAAACTGGCTAGGGCTTGCTTGGTTTTACTTAAGTAGTTATAGAAAGTAAGATAAAATGCTCTCTGAGGGTACTCCTTGGGGAGGTCCAGTGAAATGGGGAGGTTTGGCTCTGAGGCCCACGGCTCCATCTAGGCATTGAGCTGACACGTACTCTGGCTTGGAGCCAGTGGGCTCCCCTCAGTCCTAACACACACTCTTCCCTCCCCGCCGCCAGGTGTGGCGCTCCTGGCCAATGCCCCAGAGCGGGTTGTCGAGCGGAAGCGGCGGCCCCGCGACAGCCCTGTCCTGAGCAACAGCAGCGTCAGGGTCACATCCAGGGCATCCAAGCAGAGGTTGGGGCTCCCACCCCCAGAGGAGCAGTCCACCTCCCAGAGGGTGAGTCTTGGAAGGCGGGCGCCGGCACTCCCTTGTATCCAGGTCTCATCCACCGCCACTCACCCCACAGGACCGCCTGAGCCAGGTGCTGCGGGACCTTGAGGATGAGAGCACGCCCATCGTGAAGCTGGGGGATGCCAGCATCGCGGCGCCCTTCACCTCCAAGCTCTCGTCCATTCAGTGCAGTGAGTCCTGCCCCCTGCCCTGTCCCCCTACCAGCCCTGCCTGGCACCCCTGCCCATGCCTGCGTGACACCCATGCTCACACCTATCTCCCCCATCCATATAGTCTGCCACGTGATCAAGCAGGGCCGGTGCACGCTCGTGACCACGCTACAGATGTTCAAGATACTGGCGCTCAACGCCCTCATCCTGGCCTACAGCCAGAGTGTCCTCTACCTGGAGGGCGTCAAGTTCAGTGACTTCCAGGCCACACTACAGGGGCTGCTGCTGGCTGGCTGCTTCCTCTTCATCTCCCGCTCCAAGGTGGGCTGAGACCCCAGGCAAAGCAATGGCTCCTGCCCCACCCAAAGCTCCTCCGCCTCTGAAACAGCGCCCACCCTGGAGGTGCTGAGAGGCTTCACTGGTTCACGGCAAGGGACACTTGGGCCTTTAGAGGTGCTTCCGGATGTCATCTCTTTCTTCCTCACAGCAGCCCTCGGGGAGGCTGTCATCCCTGTGTTACAGATGGGGAGTGGGAGGGAGGGGGCGAGCCCACTGAGCTTTTCCCAGTAGCACAGCTCGGGCCCAGCACTGTTCATAGGCAAGCAGGGCTCTGGAGCCTAGTGCCAACCGTGTACCAGGATGTGGGGCTGCTCTGCACCAGGCCTGCAGGAAGTATGGTGGGTGGGTGACCCAGGGCTCTCTGGGCCTTGACACTCAGCCATGTATTCAACCCCCAATACTGCAGCCCCTCAAGACCCTATCCCGGGAGCGGCCCCTGCCCAACATCTTCAACCTGTACACCATCCTCACGGTCCTGCTCCAGTTCTGCGTGCACTTCCTAAGTCTTATCTACCTGTACAGCGAGGCTCAGGCCCGAAGCCCTGAGAAGTGAGTGCCGCCCTAGTAGTGGGTGCCCAGGGCATCCAAAGGAGGCAGCATCCCTGTGGTGGGAGGTGGGAGGAGGGTGCAGGTGCAGGCGTTGGCCTGGGGTAACCAGGGCCAAGCAGAGAGCCCTGGCTATGTGCAGGGGCAGTGGGAGCCCAGAACGGCCCTCACCCCCATGCGTCCTGCAGGCAGGAACCGTTTGTGGACCTGTATAAGGAGTTTGAGCCAACCCTGGTCAACAGCACTGTGTACATCATGGCCATGGCCATGCAGATGGCCACCTTTGCCATCAACTACAAGGTGAGCTCCAGCCCTAGCCCAAGCATGCCCTGCCCGCCCCCCACCCCCCACAACACAAACTCTTCATCTCTCTGTCCCCACAGGGCCCGCCCTTCATGGAGAGCCTGCCTGAGAACAAGCCTCTGGTGTGGAGCCTGGTTGTGTCACTCGTAGCTGTTGTGGGCCTGCTCCTCGGTTCCTCGCCCGACTTCAACAGCCAGTTTGGGCTTGTGGACATCCCCGTGGAGGTGAGTATCGCTGTGGATGTGGCCCCAGGACTTGGTCTGGGCCCATCGGCAGGCATCCAGCTCATCATCGCTCCCTACCCTGCAGTTCAAGCTGGTCATCGCCCAGGTCCTGATCCTTGACTTCCTCCTGGCACTCCTGGCCGACCGCGTCCTGCAGTTCTTCCTGGGGACCCCGAAGCTGAAAGTGCCTTCCTGAGACAGCAGTGCCAGCACCCACTGCCCACCCTGCTACACCGGGCAGGAACCCCATGTGGGCCCCAGGAGGGAACACTGCCCCCCCCAACCCCCACCCCCGGCAAGGCCAGCGCAGCCTTGCCCACTAAGACTGAGGTGGGGCTGCCCCCGTCAGCCTTCCCCCCCACATGGCCATCCTGGGGCCTGGCTGGCAGAACCAGCCCCCAGCCAGCACCTTTGGTAAATAAAGCAGCATCCACAATTTTAAGAAGCCCTGTTTTCGCCTCTGTCTGTACCACACAAGGGGTCGCTGGGAGCTGGGTGTTCTCCGAGGAAGGTCCTGACACCCTCGCAGAGAGCTGTGTGAGGTCAACAACACCCTCTGCAACAGTCCGGGCTTGCACGGGCGAGCCTCCAGCTCAGAGAGCTCTGCACACTTCCTGGGTTAGTAAGCACCCCATGTGTCAGCTTCATATTTTCACATCTCGGGCACTGCGGGGAGCTCAGGGTCTATGGCTTTTCCCCTTTTGAGAATGCAAAATGGCAGCATGGCGTCTCATATGTGAGGAAGTTCAATCCACACCATTAGAATGCTGGCTCAGGCTAGGGTCCCGGGGTGCTGAGGCATTTAGGTGCTGTTGGCATTTCAGTCACAGCCACTCGGGGGCAGCAGCCTGGCTCTGGCCTCACAAGGACTGTTCTTCCTCAGAGGGCGCTCATTCAGTGCAGTCGGGAGCATCAGATTAAGCAGCACAAGAGCTGAGAGGCAGCCAGTTGGAGATAACAGCAAAAAACTTGAAGCAAAGTTATAAACATGAAGTCTTTCATTACAGCCAGAAATGCCACTGAGTGAAGAGTGGGTACATTTTTGTAACTGGGAAGCTGCTTGTGATCACCTCAGGCCAGGGGACCCAGACTCGGACTTCTGATCCACCTCCCCGCCAGTGCTCAGTCCTTTCCTCCCTCTTGGTTATCCTCAGTAGCCATGGATACCTGTGAGCATCGTGAGCACTGGCTGGCCAAGGTCCCAGGGGGGGGGTGGCCCCAGATGGTAGCCTGCAGAGGGGTTGCTGTGGTCCTGTGGGATGGAGAGGGAGGCCACATCCCTGGGACAACTTTGAGGCGACTCAGAAGCGTGGTCTGGGATTGGGTTTGCCAGGGATGATTCTTCGGGGGCTCAGAGGAGGATCTCTGTGCTGCCCTCGCCACTGCCCCACCCCGCCCCAGGCCTGAAAAGACCAGGACCACGCTGTAATTGGGCTTTGAGAGCCTGATCTAGCTTTGAGGGTCACTGGGAGTCCCCCAGGCCAGGAGTTTCTAGCCACAAAGTGTTAGGTGACTTCTGATTGGGCTGTAATCGGGCAGGACTGCGGGCCTCCACAAGGGCATGTCTCTAGTCGGGCTGGACAGGTTCAGGGGTCAACGGAGCCCTGAGCAGCACTGGCACTGGGTGTGTGGAAGGGTCGAAAACAGTTGGACTCGGGTGACTCCTTCGGGGGGGGGGGGGTGCTGCCGCTTTGGGACCGTGCAAAGATCTGGAAAGGAGAACCCTGGCCAGGATGGAGTCCTGGAGTCCAGGTCTAGGGCGGTTGCCCAGGAGGCACTGGCTTTAGCATCTGCCCTCGCGCAGGTACTCCTTCCGCGCTTCGGAGCTCGGGGGCGTGGCCTCGGCATGGGCGTGTTTAGGGTGATAACGTGGGGGCGTGGCCTGCCATGGGGCGGGGAGACGCGGAAGCCGGTGGCAGCCGAAGCAGAAAATCTGGGCCAGGCCCAGCCTGCGATTCCATCACCTCAGTCCCCGTCCCCACCGAGCAGCCCCTAGGCCATGGACGCAGCGGAGCCGGGTAGGCGGTCCGGGATCCGGGATCCAGGAGGGGCATCAGCCATGCCGGCTTCCTAAACTGAGGGCCTGTGGTTGTCCCTCTGTCCGTAGAGCAGGGACAGGAGTTCCTGAATGGGGAGGACGCCCGGGAGCCTCCATTGTGGGCACCGGCCCCGCAAGCCGATAGGGGCCCGGGACACCAGCCCCTGACCCCCCCCCCCCCTTGGAGTCTTCACCCCGGATGCCTGGCTGAAGGGGCCCAGGAAGGGGAAGTGGCTGCTTCTGCTTTTGATATTTGTGATGGGGGCAGGGTGCAACCACCGCGGATGGAGAGGGGAAAGGGCGACAGCGCGGCGGGATCCCCACCCGCCGCTCCCTAGCCCGGGGAGGAGCAGCGCTGAGGGGGCCGCCAGAGGAAGGGAGGGAGAAGCTGTCTCAGAAATGTAGCAAGTTTCCGCCAGCTTGGGGGCTGTCGTGTGTGTCTCCGTGCATGTGAGTGTCAGTCATTCAGTCTTTGTGGCCCTGATGGTTCAGTCTGCCTGTGTTCCTGCCACAGCTCTCTGCCTGCCTGTGGGTCCCTGGGTTTCCATCTGTCTGGCCTGAGTTCCATGTGGCTCCATTGCCAAGCTGGCTCTTGCCTCTGGGGACAGTGTGAGTGCATCTGGGGCATCTGTTCTGTCTCGCGGCCTCTGAGCCCGTTTGTGGCAGTCTGCTCTCTGTTGGGTTGTGCCTGAGACCATCTGCCTGGCCAAAGCCAGCCCCACCCACCCAAACCCTCCCTCCCTCCATTCCAACTCAGACACCCACCCCATCTCACACGCCCCACAGAAACAGAACTTTCTGTCTTGCTCCTCTTTCTTTCTCTCTCCCCACCCTCCAAACAGCCAGCCAAGGTGCTGTGCACTACGGAGGTTTCGTGTACCCATATGTGACCGCCGCCCCCCTTTTAGGGCTTCCCCCGGCTCCCGAGAGCAGGAAGAGATACAGTGACATCTTTCGGAGCCTGGACAACCTTGAAATTTCACTGGGGAACTCGTGAGTCTGAGCCTGGGTCGCCCCCAAATCCTGCCAAGATCTTCAAAACACCCCAAATTCACCCTCCCCAAATCCACTAGAAATCCCTATAGTGGTCCTAGGACCCCCACGGATCCTTCTGGTGACCCCTTACAACGTTTGAGGCCCCTGTAATCCCACTCTCTGAATCCCAAAGTTACCTGTAAGCCGTCAAACTCTGTCTCAAGTCTCATAAAAAAGCTCACCTGGCTGTCCCCCAAACCTCATCCCTTGGACCTCCCAGATACAAGCGATGTCACTGAGGTGGTGTTCAGGACCATCCGCCAACATTCCCTGGGACCCTCAGCACCCTGAGCGGGACAGCCCGGGTGAAGGGTGGTATCCTGATACCCTTCCCCACCAGGACCCTTGAGATGCTGGCTGGAGACCCCATACTCACAGGAGATCCAGAGTCTGACAAGACCCCCACAGCCACTGTGGTGAGAGATGGAGCCAAGGGGTGCAGGGAGGAGGAGGGCCCCTGCCCTGCATGTTCCTGAATACTGTCTCCTCCCCCTCAGACTGGTGAAACCAGCCATTGGAGTGGCCCCTCCCCAGAGGGTCCTGCACCCCTTACAGGTAGGGGGTTTGAGGCCGGGAGGTGGGGCAGAAAGAAGTTCTTAAGTTCAGAAGTGCACTGCCTGTCCTGTGCACCTGGGACACTCACAGAGCAGATGTGAGGCCCTGCCCTCGGGGAGCCCCCGTCTGGGTGGAAAATCAGTGGAAAATTGCAAGTCATTGTAAAGGGTATTTGGGGAAGTCATAGGGTAGAATAAAGGTCACTGGTCAGGTCTAGAGACTCCAGTGAGGTCAGGGTTTCCAGGGGGTTTAGGATTCAGAGGTCAGAGGTCCACCTGTCTGCCCAGGGGAGGAACTGGACTTGCGGCTCGCGCGGACCAAGGGCGGTGTGGACGCAGCCCTGGAGTACGCCAAGACCTGGAGCCGCTACGCCAAGGAGCTGCTGGCCTGGACCGAGAAGAGAGCCAGCCTTGGTGAGGGTCCTCCCCCGGCCCCCGGCTCCAGGCAGCTCCCACTCCCTGCCCAGCTCAGACCCCCGCCGTCTCCCCACAGAGCTGGATTTTACCAAAAGCATTATGAAGATCGCCGAGGCTGGCAAGGTGTCGCTCCACCAGCAGGTAACCACGACCAGCCCCCCTCCCCCCCACCCTGCCCCAGCCCAACCCCCACCCCTAGTTCCTCAGCATCTCCCAACACCCCCACCCCAGAGCCACATGCCACTGCAGTACATCTACACCCTGTTTCTGGAGCACGACCTCAGCCTGGGAGCCCTGGCCATGGAGACGGTGGCCCAGCAGAAAAGAGACTACTACCAGGTGAGGGGTCCACGCTGCCCGCGCACCTTTCCGCTCACTCCCCTCAGCAGAGGGCGCCGGCGGGAGCGCTATTTTGCTGATGAGGAAGCTAACGCCCGCCCGCCCGCCCGCCCGTGGATGCTGAGGAACTTGCCCAAGGTTACCCCGCAGAGACTCAGACCAGGCTTCTTGTGCATTCGCAAAACTGCATTTGTGTGAGGTGCTGAGTGTTCCCGGGAAAGGTCTCTTGGCCTCTCTGGACCAAGGCAGAGAGGCTGAGGTGACCACTGAGTCTTCTTGCTGGGATACGGAGTGGGGGTGAGCAAGCCTGGGCAAGGAGACCCTCTGGGAGCCCGCAGGCTCTGAGAAGGGTCCAGGGGGTGAAAGGCACCGGGCCTCAGGGAACAGAAGGCCCGGTGACCCTGAGGCAGATCCCCGTCCCCCATCCTTGCCAGCCCCTGGCCGCCAAGCGGACCGAGATCGAGAAGTGGAGGAAGGAGTTCAAGGAGCAGTGGATGAAAGAGCAGAAACGGATGGTGAGGCCTGGGCGGGTGAGGGTGAGCTTGGGAAGGGAAGGAGGGGGCCCTGACGGTGCTCCTGCTTCCCCTCCCCACCCCCACCCCCAGAACGACGCGGTGCAGGCCCTTCGAAGAGCCCAGCTCCAGTACGTGCAGCGCAGCGAGGACCTGCGGGCTCGCACCCAGGCGTCCTCGGAGGACCCCGCCCCCCAGGCCTCACCGGCTCCCAGCAAACAGCAAGAGCGGCGGCGGCGCTCCCGGGAGGAGGCCCAGGCCAAGGTGGTGACCCTGCCCCCTGGGCCCCCTGGTGCTTCGGTGCCCCCCACCCATGCTATCTCCCACCTGTACCCCGGCCCTGCTCCCTCCAGGCGCAAGAGGCAGAGGCGCTGTACCAGGCCTGCGTCCGCGAGGCCAACGCGAGGCAGCAGGACCTAGAGGCCACCAAGCAGCGAATCGTGTCGCACATACGCAAGCTGGTGCTGCAGGGGGACGAAGTGATGAGGCGGGTGAGGCCCTACCCCGAGCTGCGCGCCCCTCCCTCCTGCTCTCTCTCCCGGAACCGCCTCCAGGATACCAGGACTCACTCCATGTCCGTGGAGAGCCAGGCCCTGCCTCAGACCCTGAATGGACCTCTGCCCCCAGGATGACCCTGACCAGTCCCCTCCTCCCCCCCTCCCGGGACACCCTCATCCCCAGGCTGCCTCCCACTGTCTAACTCCACGCCCCCTCTCATATGTGGTCTCCGTGGTCTCCCCCTGGCAGGTGACCCTGGGGCTGTTCCGGCTTCGAGGGGCACAAGCAGAGCGCGGGCCCCGCGCCTTCGCCGCCCTGGCCGAGTGCTGCGCGCCCTTCGAGCCTGGCCAGCGCTACCAGGAGTTCGTGCGGGCACTGCGGCCAGAGGCCCCGCCACCCCCGCCACCCGCCTTCTCCTTCCAGGAGTTTGTTCCCGCCCCGCACAGGTGGGCCCCTGGGGGCAGAGTCAGGAAGGAGCCCCAGGCGCGGTGCCAGCTGTTGGCATCATGGGCTGAGAACTCAGAGCCTCAGGACTTGGGCTTAGTACCCGAGGCTCTCCTCTGGGAAGCGGGGGTTGTCCCGGGCCTGGGAGGGTCGGGACTGGAAGCCTGCCGCCCTGGCCACAATGCGCATACGCCTCGGGGCTTGCAGACCTAAGTACTCGGAGTTGGATCCAAGATGCGGGACCTGGGTGCTGTCACCTTGGCCAGTGTCCTCGCTCTCAGAGCCCTCAAACCTGTCCTCCCAGCTCCCCTCTGGACACCAAGAAGAAGCTCTCCGGACCCCCACCTCCGCGGCTGGATGAGAGTGCCGCTGAGCCGGGCCCTTGGGAGGACACGGGCGGCGTCGGCTGGCAGGGTGAGTGCAGGGAGGAGCGGGGAGGAGTGGTGCTGGGGAGGGCCGTCCTCATTGCCCTCTCCCCTCCTAGGGACTCCGGGCCCCACTCCGGGCAGCGATGTGGACAGCGTGGGCGGCGGCAGCGAGTCTCGATCCCTGGACTCTCCCACTTCCAGCCCAGGTGGGCCCAGGACCTGGCCCTGACCCGCTCCTAACTCTGACCTTCCTCCAGCCCTGGCCAGGCCCTGACCTTTCATCTCTAACCTTCCCTTCGATCTTTAACCTGCCCACACTCCTGCCCTATTTCTTCAGCCTCTGACCTATCTGACTCCCCATCTGCACACCTTCAACCCTTTCCCCAGGGACAGCTGTGGGTGGTTCTGGAAACTAGGAAAGCCCTCTTAGCTTTGGAACTTCTCCATGACCCCTCTGACCCCAACCTCCGGGACCCTCTGACTCCAGGCCCTGGTCCAAGGCAGCTGGTGAAGGTCTCCTCCACAGGCACCGAGTCTTCAGATGACTTCGAGGAGCGAGACCCTGGTAAGGCGGGAAGCAGGTGGGCAGGACGGGGGCAGGGTTGGACCAGGCCCCCTAACCCTGCTGTTATCCCACAGACCTGGGAGACGGGCTCGAGAACGAGTCCGGCAGCCCCTTCAGGAAGTGGACGCTGTCCAGCGCAGCCCAGACTCACCGGCTGCGGCGGCTGAGGGGCCCGGCCAAGTGCCGCGAGTGCGAGGCCTTCATGGTCAGCGGGACCGAATGTGAGGAGGTGTGGCCCGGGCCGGTGGCCGGCTCTCTGCGACCCGCTGACCTCCCTGCGCCCCAGGCTCCTCCGTGGCCTCATAGTCCCACGCCCCTCCCCTCCCGCCCCTGGGACCAGCCCTGACCTAATGATCGCCCAGGAGCGTCCCGTCCCCTAAGGACCCTTACAGCCTTCACTTTCGCTGACCCCTGTGACCTCCCTGATCGTTTTTTTTGTTTGTTTGTTTTAGGCAACTGTTCTTTATTTATGCAAAGCATGTTCTAAATTAATTTTTATTTGCCACCAATGAATTTGCTCCCCCTCCCCAACCCCCAGTGCTTTCTGACCTGCCACAAGCGCTGCCTTGAGACTCTGCTGATCCTCTGTGGACACAGGCGGCTCCCAGCCCGGACCTCCCTCTTCGGGGTCGACTTCCTGCGGCTGCCCAGGGACTTCCCGGAGGAGGTGCCCTTTGTGGTCACCAGGTGCACGGCTGAGATAGAACAGCGCGCTCTGGGTGTGCAGGTGCTGCTTTGACCCTTGACTTTGGACCATCCCCAGCCATGGCCTGGCCCTCTCCATGGCTGGATTACTACCCAGGAGTTTCTTTTCCACCCTACCCCTACAGGGCATCTATCGGGTCAGCGGGTCCCGGGTCCGAGTAGAACGGCTGTGTCAGGCTTTCGAGAACGGCCGAGCGTTGGTGGACCTGTCTGGGAACTCACCTCATGACGTCACAAGTGTGCTCAAGCGGTTCCTCCAGGAGGTGGGTGCTCAGGGGCCAGGGCACGGCCACCTGGGCAGGCTGAGGCCAAGGACCCTCTGCAGCCTACCCACACCCCTGACCCCCCTGCCATTCCACCCCCAGCTCACTGACCCCGTGATCCCCTTCCACCTCTACGATGCCTTCATCTCTCTGGCTAAAACCCTGCATGCAAACCCCGGGCACGACTCTGAGACCCCAAGTCCCAGTGCCGAGGCTGTTCGCTTTCTGGAGACCCTCTTGGTGCAGCTGCCTGACTCTAACTACAACACCCTGCGACATCTGGTGGCTCATCTGTTCAGGTGTGCACTCCCCCTGACCTTGAAACGGATGTGACTACTGGACTTGTGACTGCTGACCCCTGACACTGACCTCTGACCTTTGCATGTGTTTTCTGAGCTCTGCACCTCCATACAGGACTTCTGACTTTCGGTGCCTACTCCCGCTCCCCATGGCCGGGCATAGAGCTGCTGGGCTCAAACTATGCCCAGGGCCACTGGCCCGTGACTTGGGCAAGTAACCGCCGGTCTGGCGTTCAGGTCCTACCCGGTAAGTGACCACTGGGCGCTCTGTGCCTTTCCCTTCTCCTCGCCCCAGGGTGGCTGCACAGTTTGAGGAAAACAAGATGTCTGCCAACAACCTGGGCATCGTGTTTGGACCCACACTGCTGCGGCCGCCGGACAATCCTGGGGCAGCTGCCGCCGGCTCCGTTAACTGCCTCCTGGACTTCGGGCACCAGGCCCAGCTCGTCGAGTTCCTCATAGTGCACTACGAGCAGATCTTTGGGATGGACGAGCTGCCTCTGGCCGCTGAGCTCCCACCTCAAGACCCCAGCCCAGCCCCTGGGCTCCTCACAGCCAGCCCCCCGCCGGCACCCCCATCCCTTGCCCCAGACCCCCTGCCCCCAACCTTGCCCCCAGATTCAGATCCAGACCCTGAGCCCCACAGTGCCCTGGAGGAGCATCCCGAGGCCATGCCCTCCGAGGTAGGAACCAGCTGGGGCCCACAGACAAGGGGAGGGACCTTTCTCCACTTAATCTTCTCAGTCACTCTCTCTCCTCCCTTCCTTTCCCTTTAAAGTTTTCTTTTTCACTCCTTCCTGTGTACCCTGTGCTCATTCTAGAAGGAAAAGAGAGGGATGGAATTGGGGAGGGGAGGGAGTGTTAATAACGGAGTGACCACAGGACACAGCCCTGCAGAGGGTGATCATTCATACCTGCAACAGCATATTTATTTAACACCTACTATGTGCCAAGCATTGCTTTAGGCATTACATATACATCAGTGAGCAGACTACTCAAAGACCCTATTCTCTTGGTGCCTACATTCTCATGGGAAAGAAACCAGCAACAAACAAGAAATATGACACAGAATTAGACATATAGATGTTACATGGTGACAAGTACTATAGAGAAAAGAAAGTAGCATGAGGTAAGGGATATCAGGGACTCGGAGGTGAGAGGTGATGGACAGCTTGTAGCAATAAGTAGGATGGTGTGGGCAGGTTTCCTGGAGAAGGTGGATTTGAACCAAGACTGGGAGGATGTGAAGGAGACCAAGCCAGGGAAGGGCAGGGTAAGTTCGTTCCAAGCAAAGGGAATGGCCAATGCACAGGCCCTGAGGTGGGAGCATGCCTGGTGTGTTCAAGGCACAGCTCGGTGGTATAATGAATGAAGGGGAGATGAGGCCAAAGAGGTCACCTACTATCCGTGAGCACTTAACAGGCTTCCTGTCATTCTCGCCACAGCCCTGAGTGGTAGATACTGTTAGTGAGTTAGTTACATAGTGAAAACCATTTACCGATGAGACTCCGAGGGAGGTTTCCTGGTCCCTCCGGTTCTGCCGTTCCTGAGCGTGCGGACCTCCTCCGCTGCAGTCCCAAGCTGGGAACGGGTTGCTGGTGAGCTGTGGGACTCTGAGAACCGGGATGACTCATAGAAAGAACTCTGGCTGCTGTTAGCATTCAGCTAAAGGGAGAATAGTGAGACTATACAGCTAACCGGGCGTAGGTTGCAGAGAACAGAGCAGGAAGGACCGTCACCTCATCCTAGTGTGGAGATGGTAAGTCACAGCCTGGCCTGGCCTCTGCTGAACAAGGGTGTCCCAGCCCTCAGAGCCCACGGTGGAGACCAATGACACTGCTCCGCACAGCAGGACAAGCAGGACACTGTTAAGGGCACCACATCTTCCCAGACACCAAAACTGCAACGGAACTTGCATGTCCAGGAGCACACTCTCGGTTCTCCAAGAGTCTCAAAGAACCGGGGTTTGATTGTTGGGGTCTTGGTCTTGGGTTTCTCCCTACAGATTCCAACTCCACAGAGTGACCAGAGAGAGGAAGTGGCCCAAGACACCAAAGATGAGCGAGGGGAAGGTGAGTGTGCTGGGAGCAAACCAGGAGTTCTGGGGGTCCCCTGCCCGTGGTAGCTTGGCAGAGAGAGGACTTTCGGGAGGGACGTCCAGAGGATTCAGTGATGCTCAGCAGTGACCACCCCATTCCGCAGTGTCCAGCCAAGGCCCCGAGGACTCCCTCCTGGGGACACAGTCCCGTGGCTACTTCAGCCGCCAGCCAGTGAAGTATGCCCGGGGGGGCGTGCGGCCCGTCACCCACCAGCTGTCCAGCTTGGCCCTGGTGGCTTTCAAGTTGTGCGAGGACACTCCGGTCACATCAGGGCCTCAAGGGAGCTTGCGGGGGAGGGGCCCGGGCCCCGCTGCTGCCTCCCCTGAGGGCCACCCCCTGCGCCGCACCCCGCTCCCCAAGCATTTTGAGATCACCCAGGAGACAGCGCGGCTGCTCTCCAAGCTGCACAGAGACGAGGTGCCCAAGGCCACCTGCTGCCCGGACCTTCCGCCTGAGGATGAGGAGGACGTAGAGGAGCATCTCTGACCAGCCAGCACTCTGGCCAAGTGGCCCAGGACTGAGGACACAGACTCACGTCTCCCCAGGAGTTCAGTGTTAGGGCATCTGGGGAGTTCCTATAAGGAAAAACGTTTTGGAGGACAGTGTACCAGGATCCCCCCACTAGACACGGGATACTGCCAACTGTCAGGGCCACTCAGGTTCAGAGGTCACTCAGGGTCAATACTCAGGTTCAATACAGGTCACAGGATCCTTGGGGTCCATCTAGTCTCTGACCCCTTGGACAGGGGTACCTTTGGCTACTTTGGTCGTGGCCACTTCCCCACCTCAGCCCTCCTCCTTGGCTGACCCCAAGTGGCATTGCTTTTGGAGGGGGGGGGAGTGACAGCCAGGTCCATCCTGGTGGGTGGTGCCTGGGGTCTGGGGGTCTCTGAATAAACTGTGTCCCTGTGCCCTCCAGTGTCTTTCTTTGCAGCAGCCTTTGGCCCACTTTACCCATCAGGGAAACCAAGGCCTCCTTCCTTCGCGCACCTATAGGCGGTCCGGCTGGACCGGGCACCGCGCTGAGTCATGAGCTCCCGATGCCGTCCTGCATAATCAAATATAACCAAGTGGAGATAACCGGGACAATGGGGCTGTGTGCTCGGGCCGGGCTGCGGGAGCCCGGGGCCCAGCAGGCCTGGGCCCGGCAGGGGGCAGCGCCGCGGGGCGGGGAGGCGCGGGGGCGGGATTCCCAGAAACTTGAGCGCTGTGGGCCGCCGGCCGAGGAGGTCGGCAAAGTGTGTGCGGGGAAGCCGCGCATCTCCCACGGCGGGGCTGGGGCGGGGGTCCGGGTGGAGGGGCGGGGGCCCGGGTGGCGGGGCTGGGGCTGGGGTCCGGGTGTAGGGGCGGGGGCCCGGGCGGCGGGGCTGGGGCTGGGGTCCGGGTGGAGGGGCGGGGGCCTGGGTGGCGAGGCTGGGGCGGGGGTCCGGGCGGTGGGCCGGTCGGATCAGGGCGGGGCCTGGAGCTCGCCGGCGGATTGGACGGAGGGCGCGGGGCTGGCCCGGGCCGGGGTGCGGGCCCCGGGACCACCCGGAGCTGAGCGCGGGCGGCGCGAGGTCACGGCGGGAACCCTCCGGCCGGAGGACTCAGCCGCCCCCGAGCCCGGAGCCGCGGCGCCAGGTGTGCGGGCGGGCGGGCGTCCGCGCCGGAAGTGAGAGGGGCCCGGGCGGGAGGAAACGGGGACCGCGGTTCCGGCGACCCCGCGCTGCCGGGCCGCGGAGGCGGGAGCCCCCAGGTGGCGGGGCGGGGCGGGGCGCGCCCGGGGGCGGGGCGGGGCGCGGGCCGGGCCGGGACCGGCTGGGACAGGACCCGGAGGGCGGGACCCGCCGCCCGCGCTCCTGCCGCCCGCGCCCAGCGCACTCCCGCTGCGCCCCCGGCTCGGTCGCTGGGCCATGGGCGCCCGGTCCGGGCCTGCCCCCCGCGAGGCCGCCCGGTGCCTGGCGTGAAGGACCGCCGAGGTGAGCCGGGCGGACGGACGGGGCTGGGGGGCCCGGGGCCCGGGAGGGAGTGGCGCTGCCCGCGGCCCCGGTGCCACCCCTTCTCCCCTCTTCCTCCTCCGGAGCCCGGCGCCCCGGAAAGCCCCGCGGGCTGCGCGCCTCTTCGTGGAGGCCACCCGCGTCCCCCCGGGACTCTCTGTGTCCTCCCCGGTGCCCGCCCGCCCGCTCGGCAGCGCGCCCGTCCAGAGCCCGTCGCCCAGCGCCCGGCTGTCCTCTGGGCCTCCTGCCGCCTCCGGGCCCAGCCCACCGCCCGCAGGGCCCGGCAGGGGCCCACCCCGCGCACATGCCCCCTGGGTTTGCTCTCCGAAGTGACCCCGACCCTGAACTTACCTCCCTCCACACTCACACCCCTTTGTCCTGCCCCGACCCAGCCCTACCCACCAGAACCGACTGGACCCAGATTGGTGGATCTTTGTTTTGTTCCTTTAGATTACAAAACAAAACCAACTCCGAGGGAAAAACACACAAATAAACCCAGCCACTTGTTTGATTTGGGAGGTAACTTTTGTAAGAGTCTTCTTCTTTCTTTTTTGTTTGTTTTTTTGTTAACTCTCGCCCGAGGCTATTTCAAGATATTGTAAGGGAGGGAGAGAGATACACAGAAAGAAACATGGATGTGAGAGAGACACATCAGTTGGTTGCCTTTGGCCCACACTCTGACCCGGACCCAACCTGCCCCTTTGACCAGAATCAAACCCGGGACCCTTCAGTCCACAGCCCCACGCTCTGTCCGGGGAGCTAAACCAGATAAGGCTGTCAGAGTCTTATCTGTAAATAAGCAACCGCCGTCCCACCAGCACTCCACAACCCACGGAGCTTGCTTTTTTCCTAGGTCGCTCTGGTCCCCAAAACACCACTTGGCCCGGAGGCCTTTGAGCGTGAGAGCTCCGGCCTTGTCCCGCTCCTCCCCTGTGTGTGCGGCTCCTCTCTGTGTCCTCCCCACGCGAGCCGCCCGCAGTGACCGCCTCCTCTGCCCCCAGACAGACGGCCACCATGGGCCAGTGCTACTACAACGAGACCATCGGCTTCTTCTACAACAACAGTGGCAAGGAGCTGAGCTCCCACTGGCGGCCCAAGGATGTGGTGGTGGTGGCCCTGGGCCTGACGGTCAGCGTGCTGGTGCTGCTGACCAACCTGCTGATCATCGCGGCCATCGCCTCCAACCGGCGCTTCCACCAGCCCATCTACTACCTGCTCGGCAACCTGGCCGCGGCCGACCTCTTCGCCGGCGTGGCCTACCTCTTCCTCATGTTCCACACGGGCCCGCGCACGGCCCGGCTCTCGCTCCAGGGCTGGTTCGTGCGGCAGGGCCTGCTGGACACGAGCCTCACGGCGTCGGTGGCCACGCTGCTGGCCATCGCCGTGGAGCGGCACCGCAGCGTGATGGCCGTGCAGCTGCACAGCCGCCTGCCGCGCGGCCGCGTGGTCCTGCTCATCGTGGGCGTGTGGGCGGCCGCGCTGGGCCTGGGGCTGCTGCCCGCCCACTCCTGGCACTGCCTCTGCGCCCTGGACAGCTGCTCGCGCATGGCCCCGCTGCTCAGCCGCTCCTACCTGGCCGTCTGGGCCCTGTCCAGCCTGCTCGTCTTCCTGCTCATGGTGGCCGTCTACACCCGCATCTTCTTCTACGTGCGCCGGCGGGTGCAGCGCATGGCCGAGCACGTCAGCTGCCACCCCCGGTACCGGGAGACCACGCTCAGCCTGGTCAAGACTGTGGTCATCATCCTGGGTGAGTGGGACCCCGATTCCCCCCAGCTCCTCCGAGGCCTGGTGGAGGGGTGTGATGGGAGGAGAGGACTTGGGTGGGGAAGGTTTTCCAAGGAGGGGATGCTGAGCGGAGATCTAACTGCTGGAGAAGGGAACAGGCAGGAGGAACAAGCCCCAGGCAGCCATTCCAGAGAGGAGAGCAGGCCCGCACAGCCTCAGAGGGCAGAGTCAGATCTTGTTCTGAATTCCTTAAGTTTCTAGCAGGGAGTAATGTGGTCACTGGCTGTTGCCATATAGGATGGCCTGGGTCGGGGGGCAGCAAGAGGCCTTCCCATGAGGACATTACCCCTCCTCCCCCCATACACACACACACACACAAGAACAAGGAGTGACTCTTCCAATGACCTCCTACCCCCACGGAGTAACTGGCCTGCCCCACAGTGACCTCTTTCTCCCCACAGAACAGATCTCCATGTAGAAATGTCCAGGGCTCTGACCACCAGTTGAGAAAGGTGTCCCTTCCGGCAGACAAGTCAGATAGAGAGATCCCTCTTAGCAATTCCGCCCCATCGCTCTGCCCCGCCGGCCAGACAGGCCTCCCTCGCCTCGCACGCCACAGCCGTTGCCCGAGCTCCGGACGCCGCTCCGGCCCGGAGCCGGGAGCAGTGGGTCACCCCGGGCTCCCTCCGCAGGGGCCTTCGTGGTCTGCTGGACGCCGGGCCAGGTGGTGCTGCTCCTCGACGGCCTGGACTGCAAGTCCTGCAACGTCCTCGCGGTGGAGAAGTACTTCCTCCTCCTGGCCGAGGCCAACTCCCTGGTCAACGCCGTGGTGTACTCCTGCCGCGACGCCGAGATGCGCCGCACCTTCCGCCGCCTCCTCTGCTGCCTGTGCCTGCGCCGGGCCGCCCGGGAGTCCGCCCACTACGCGTCCTCCACGCGGGCGGGCGCCAGCACGCGCATCATGCTCCCCGAGAACGGCCACCCCCTGATGGACTCCACCCTGTAGCCAGCCGTGGCGTCCGTGGGATGCAGCAGGTGCCCGGCCGCACCCTGACCGCTCGTGGGGGTGCCCGGGTCAGCCCCGTTCGAAGGACAGAGTCAAGGCGGACCCTCGGTCTGGCTGCCGGACCTCCGCAGACACACGCAGCTCTGCCCGCTCCGGGGCCCGGGGGTTATCTGTGGTCACCTCCAGGGGCCCAGGACAGGTGGGGTTCCGGAACGGGCCCTTCAGTCATCTCAGGGTGTGGGGTTTTTAACAGACATTTTCCTGTTGTACTACACATCCCTGGCAAACCCTGTGGATCGCTTCCGTGTCCGTGGTGGTGTGCGTTAAAAGGACTCTCGGGCCATGACGCCCCCAGAGTAACAAGGGCTGGATCATGGATGCGCCATCTGCCTGAGGCACACAGAGCGTGTGGCCCCGTGAGGCCTCCGGGCTTGCCCGTCTCCGTTAGACTTGAGGGTATCCCCACGGAGGGCATGTTAAGGAGTAAACTTTTATTTTTCCTCCGAGGTCTCCCGCGCACTCTGTGTCATCGGCTCAGTCTGTCACTATGGCCCAGAATTGCCTGTCTTCACGTGTTCCCTTGCCTCCCTCGTGCCCACTGCCTGTCTTCATCCTCTGGAGCTCAGTGGTTCATGGACCACATGAGTCCTCTCCCCGCCTGCCCTTTCGTCCCAGTCCAGGTTCACAGTCACCTGTGTCCATCCCACTGCGCCCTACACACCCACAGCCAGGGCAGTGGGATCCATGGAGCAGGGTGCAGGGTTTGAGTGTTGCCATTTCTCCCCTGACGCCTGGCACACGGAGAAGCACTGGGGTGCATTATTGAACCGTCCCCTGCGGGTCTTACACCGATTTTCATGGGAGAATTGTGGTCCCACGGCTTTGAAAGGACACCGAGATGCATGCAGAGACGAGAAAGGCCCCTGGAGAAGGAGCTTCTGATTATCCCACAAAGTGTGGAATTGGTCACAAGCTCAGCCTGGCTTTTCCCACCTCACCCCACAGCCCCCAGAGGCTTCAGACATATCAGACTCCTGAGGATGAGCCCCATCTCATGTTCATAGGGTAGACCAGGATCTGAGTGTAGACCTAAGGAGGAGACAGGGTTATGTCCCTACCTCAGGTTCGCACAGAATAACAGCCGATTTGGAAAGCAGATCTCCCGGCATGTCCGCATTGCCAAAGAACCAAAACATCCAGGTCCTTCTCCGTTAAGTGGGGCTGGACTTCCCTTTGGGGAAACTCCCAGCCCTAAGGTAGCTTTGTGAGGAGGCAAGAATGAACTGGGTTGCTGGGTGCTTCTCCGGGGTCCAAAGCGGGCAGTATAGGGCTGGGCCTGCAACTCTGAGGCGATGGCCCAGGCCGGCAGCTCCCACCAGGTGCCCAGGCACATGCCCAGGAAAGACGCCGGCTCTGCCTCCGCAGAGCCCTGGGCTTGTTGGGGAGACGTGTCGTTTTGGGGGCCGAGGCAGCTAACCAATTCCTGGGACCTCCAAAGACAGCTCTGTGCTGTGCTTCACCGGCTGGGCATCCTCCAGGTTCTCCCTCACAATCCTTGGGTCTCCTTTGGGGTTTGGTCCCACCGGTTTTTCCCTTTCCGTAGGTCTCTATTCTCTACGGGGTGACTTCCAAGTTATTGTCTCCCCTGGTCTTTGAAGCTTTCAAACACCCATCCCCTCACCCCATTCTCTGAAGGACACCAAAGTGCCCACTGTTTTTTTTTAAATATATTTTATTGATTTTTTTTTTACAGAGAAGAAGAGAGAGGGAGAGTTAGAAACATCGATGAGAGAGAAACATCCATCAGCCACCTCCTGCACACCCCCTACTGGGGATGTGCCTGCAAGCAAGACACATGCCCTTGACCAGAATTGAACCTGGGACCCTTGAATCCGCAGGCTGACGCTCTATCCACTGAGCCAAACCAGCGAAGGCAGCGGCCCACTGTTTTCAGGCGCCTGTGCAAGAGCTGTGCTGGCAGCTGACCTTCCTGTGCTGCTTTCGATGGCGCCCACGGCCTGGCACTTCCCCGTTATTGGGGCCAAGTGTCAGGTCTCATCAGGAAGCTTTGAGGTTGTTCTGACCCTGGCCCACATCACTCATTTCCGTTCCCTGCCGGCTCTGTCTGGGGTTCCAATCACGCCTGGGGCTTACTGCACTTCCTCTCCAGCAGCATGGGAGCCGTGCCCGAGGGGCAGCCAGGCTGAGCCTGCGCCTGGGGTCTGCCCTCGGCGCAGACATGCTCCAGGCAGCCCGTGCCGCTGGATAAGTATAATAACTCCTGTCCCGTCCGTTCCTTTCCTCTCGCACGAGGAGCGGCTGTCTTGGGGTGCACTGCGTGGTAGAAGGTCTTCTGGAAGTGTCCATCCCTCAGCCATGTGGTAGCATTTTCTAGACCTGGGATGCTGCCAAGCGAGAGGAGTAAGCCGGAGAGTGGTCCCGCTCCAGCCAGGCCTGGAAAGGTGAACAGAACTGACTCCTGCAGCTGAGAAAACCCTGGGTCCTAACCTCCCGGCCCCCGCCCCGCGCCCCTCGGGGGAGGGCTGATGGCGCTGTGAGGGCCAAGGGGAATCCTGAGAAGGAAGGGGGCTGGGGGCACAGTGGGTGGGTTGCTCTGAGATGTGTGACCGAGGAACAAGAGGCTCAGAGAGGAAGGCCTCTGAGGAGGAGCAAGGTCTGAAGAGGAGGTGCATGTGGGGTAAGGGCCACCGGAGCGGGGCGGAGCCCGCCCTGCCCCCTGGAGGAGGCTGGGGGAAGCGCCTCTGCACCCCCTGCGCCCTCCCGGCTGCTGGGGAGCCCGCGGGCGGCGGGGGATGGACCTCACGTGCAGCAGCTCCTGGCTCCCCGCCCCGCGGCTGCTCCGGGCTCCGCGGCTCCGCCCCGCGCCCCGGGCCCGCTGCCAAGGCCCTGCCGCCCGGCTCGGGAGACTCCTGCGGCGGATCGTGGCCTCCCCGACCGACCAGCCCGGAGGAGGCGCAGGCCAGGTGCTGGGGCCGAGCCACCCCGAGTCCGGGCCAGGAAGGGCGGGCCCAGGGGCCGGGGGCTGGGGGTGAAACAGGGGGAGGGCCGGAGTCTAAGCAGGGAGAGCAGGGGTGGGGCTTCAGGAGGATGTAAAGGGGGTTTATGGGGCTAAAATGTATCGGATTGAAAAGTTTATGGGGCTAAGAGTCTGTATGTGTGTGTGTGGGGGGGGGGGGGGGGGGGGGATAGGAGATCTTCCAGGGGCGAGAGGGATGGCTATAAGAAGGGGAGCTCATGGCCCTAACTGGTTTGGCTCAGTGGATAGAGCTTGGGCCTGCAGCCTCAAGAGTCCCAGGTTCAATTCCGGTCAAGGGCATGTACAGTAGGGGGTGTATAGGAGGCAGCTGATGGATGGGGAGGCTCACGGTGAAAGGGGTTTATGGAATTGTGAAGGGGTAAGAGGAATGTCGGGTGTAAATAGATGGGTTGGTGTGATTCATGAAGTGGGGAGTTTGGAGTGACGGAGAGCTGTGGAGAACGGGGCTCGGGAATGAAGAGATGGGCAGGTAACTGGGAACCATCAGGAGAAATGGCCGCTCGGGGAGCTGGGTGGAAACAGAGGGCCTCCCGCTTTCTCATTCACTTGGCAAATGTTTATTAGATACTTTGTGCAGGGACACTGGCTCCTGGCAGAGTCTCAGTTCCCAAGCTCATGGTTTGAGAGAGAAAATAAGTGCAAACAACCTAGGATAGCCCAGCCGGTGCACAGTCCCAGGGTGTGGGGGCGTGCAAGAGGCAGCCAATCATCAGTGTTCCTATCTTTCTCCCTTCCTCTCTCTCTAAAATCAGTTTTTAAAAAAAAATTTTTTAAACAGTACAGCTATAACTGGTTTGGCTCAGTGGATAGAGAGTCGGCCTGTGTACTGAAGGGTCCCAGGTTGGATTCTGGTCAAGGGCACATGGGGAGAGGGGGAGCGAGGGGCAGGGTGCAGAAGGCAGCTGATTAATATTTCTCTCTCATTGATGTTTCTAACTCTCTATGTCTCTCCTTTCCTCTCTGCAAAAAATCAATAAAATATAATTTTAAAAAAACAGTATACATTGTGAGAAAGCTATGAGCAAAGGGCTGGTATGCTGGGGGAAGCCAGGTGGGGCGGGCACAGCACCTTCAGAGGCCCTGAGGGGGGACCCGCGGACAGAAAGCGGAGGAAGGGACTGAAGCCCCAGTGGAGTTTGGAGGGAGGCTGGAACTGGATCATACTAGGCCCATGGTTGGCCAACTGCGGCTCTTTGGCCCCTTGAGTGTGGCTCTTCCACAAAATACCCTGGCCTGGGAGAGTCTATTTTGAAGAAGTGGTGTTAAAAAAAATTTTAAGTTTAAAAAATTTGGCTCTCAAAAGAAATTTCAATCGTCGTCCTGTTGATCTTTGGCTCCGTTGACTAATGAGTTTGCCGGCCACTGCACTAGGCCTACAAGTCTCAAAGAGTTTGGGTTTTTGTTTCAGCTGCAAAGGGGAAATCACAGCAAGTGTAAGACCACCGTCCCACTTACCCCCATCCCGCACTGCCAGCCAGCGGGATTGGTGAAGCGTCCTACACACGGCAGCCGTTGTGTTTGGGTTCTGCCCAGATTATTAGGAATGGGAAAGGACTGGAGTCCTTTCGGAGAAAGATCTTCTTAAAGGAGAGCCTGTCTGGGGAGAAGGATGGGCCCCGGGGGTGGAGCCAAGGTCTGGTGGCGCGGACGGGCCACGGCCAGTCCCCAGAGCCTTCTACGGGAGAGGGTTTGCAAAGGCCGCCCACAGTAGCCCCGGCAGCTTCCCACCTCTGTCTGGAGAGTGAGGGGTGTCGCCCACCCCCACTTCCACCACCGCCATGTTTGTTCCCATCGCTGAGGCACCATGCCGGGTGCTAGAGAAACCGAGGCGGCTAAGATAGTCCCTGCTCTCCTGGCGCTCTCCGAAAAGTAGAGTGTGGGGGACTAATTTATAAATAGTTTTCTTATCTGAGATATGCTGAGTAGGTGTGATTCCTGGCTCAAAAGACTGGGCTGGGAGAGGGTGCCTTTTTTAAAAAAAATATATTTTATTGATTCCTGCAGAGAGGAAGGGAGAGAGATAGAGAGCTAGAAACGTCGATGAGAGAGAAACATCGACCAGCCGCCTCCTGCACACCCCCCACCGGGGATGTGCCCGCAACCAATGTACATGCCCTTGACCGGAATCGAACCTGGGACCCTCCAGTCCGCAGGCCGACGCTCTACCACTGAGCCAAACCGGTTTTGGCGAGAGGGTGCCTTTGTGTGACGCCGTGTTTGCTAGACTAGTCGGAGAGCAGGGACCGTGCTGTACTCTCCTCTGCATCCCAGGGCCTGGCGCCTAGCACGCATCACGTCTGTGGCGCTTAGATTCTGGAAGGACGAGCAGGAGCTGGGGGAGGGGAGGATGGGCTCTTCACTGGCAGGAACCTCAGAGGCAGTGCTCTGCGTGTGTGCGGAGCTCCCTGTGTTCCTTTGCTTCTGGGGGGACCGTTGTGTGAGGAG